AAAAAAAAAAAGGTATTGGCACACAGGTAAAGCCCACCAAATACAGAATTATTGACAACTCATAGGTAACTGTTAGAAGAGAATGCTATTCCAGTTAGAATCTTCAAAACAAACCCAAGGCAACATCATGATGGTATTGACTGAATGTTTCCATCCCCTTGAATCTGTATGTGGCAATCCTAACCCCAATGTGATGGTATTTGKAGGTGGTATCTTTGGTTATTCAGATTAGATCATTTGTGAATGAGATAAGTGCCCTTATAAAAGAGGCTCCCGAGAGACACCTTCCCCTCCTGCCATGTGAGGATGCACTGAAAAGATGATCACCTAAAAACCAGGAAGCAGGCTCTCACTAGATGCCCAAAATGTCAGAACACTGATCTTGGACTTTCCCCTCCAGAACTGAGAGGTAATTGTTATTTATAAGCCTCATCTATGGTATTCTGTTTTAGCAGCCCAAGTAGATTAAGATAAAAAATTGGTACTAAGGATCAAGATTAAAATTGGTACTAAGGATCAAGATTAAAGGTGGTTAAGAGGCAGAAGTGAGTTTCAAGCCAAGTACTGTCCAATTCCAAGGCCTGGCCATCTGCTCACCATTTAGTACTCTGCAGTGTGACCTGTCTGATCAAGGGTCTGAGGAAGAATAGGACTCCAGGGTACAGAGAATGTAATTCTTGGTGTCTGTCAATCATGTTGGTAATGGCAAATACCTGGCACTCATGTTTAGCAAGCACTGCCATTAGAGTTAAATAGGAACATGTGTTTGTGTGTGCTGCCCTGTTACATAGACTTTAAAGATAATGCTCCAATGTTTGTGACTTGAGCAATAACACATGAGCTAGGAAAATGTCCTTTGCATTGCGACCCAATGATTCCTATTCCTATTATTACTCACTTTTTTGTGTCAAATTGTTGAATATAAATATGTTTGTGGATATGGCCCCAAAACAGGCCAGATAATGTGAGCCACAGCCCAGGGCTAAGTTTCAAAAGACTCAGACATCCTGGGGCTGGATTTCTTGGGAAGCCAACTGTGATCCAGCCTTACCCTTGCTGCAGTCTCCTCTAGCTCAGCCTTCTCCCTGGGAATTGGTACCACTCCAACCCAGCAAGCAATAGGTGCAGGCCCGAGCACCGATAATCTCTGTCCCAGAATTCCCTACCTGCCAGTGCTCCCTCTGCCATCTGGGCAGCTTCGGTCCACAGACTCTTCAATCATCCCTACCGTCCTTCCCTAGTCTACTCGGGCCCTCGCAATTATATTCCTCCTCTGGATATTGTGTCCCAATATCTTCATGGCCTTATTTCTTCCAGACRTGTGAAAGAAAGAAGTCAAAGTGGAACAAAAACGAAAACCAACTAATTAGCCAACCAACTAAAACAAACAAAATTTAAAAAGCTTTATACTTTCAGCAACTTAGTGAGACCCTGTCTCAAAATAAAAAATTAAAAGGGCTGGGGATGTGGCTCCGTGGTTAAGTGACCCTGGGATTAATTCCCAGTACAAAAATAAAACCATATACTTTTATGTATGTAAGCAGCTAGCCTAACACCATGGKACAGTCTTACAGAAAATAACCTCTCCCACCACTCTGTCCCCAAGGGTAACCTGCTTTAGTTTTCTTCAGAGCACCTTATTGAAAGACCTGATACATCATACATCTGTTTATGGTTTCTTGTGCTTCCCCACCCTCTACACATTGTAAATCCTAAGGTGAACAGAGACTTTTATCTCCAACACCTGAAATAGCACCTGTGCAATGTGAGGCTGGAATACATCAAACCAGACTGGAACAGCAACTGCCACTCCCCTTTCTGTGGTTAATTTTCAGGGTCACCCTGAGACTTACTTTAACCTCAGTGAACTTGCAGCACAGAGGTGGGAAGAGACAGAAGCCTTCAGGCTGGACCCAGGCCCTCTGAGGGTCTGCACTGTCCTCCTCCCCAGCATTCCAGCATGTACAAAGGGAAACCTCACACTTTCCATCTTATTTCACATTAGACTACAGAGTCTCATATTGATATTCCCACATTGGTTTCACATTAGTTGATCTAGCACTTAGTGGGACTCTAAGCTATAGGAATATAAGTAGAAACTAATTTTGGATAGATAAGGAAATAAGAATAATGATAGCTAATATTTGCTGTTTGCTATATGCAAAACATCATGCTAACTCCTTTGAATTATCTTTTTTTACCCAAACAACAAGTCCATGAGGCATGCACTATCATCAGCCCATTTTGCAGTTCAGAAGACTGCAGTTAAGTCCTGAACCTGCAGTCACATGGCTTGTCAAGGAGTCCAGATCTGTTGATGTGAAAGACAGTACCTGAGGAAGAAAGGAGGGAAAATGAGAGAAGGCAAATGACATGGTATTTGATTTAGTAAATGGTAGTATTTATGTTTTGTTGAATCCCCAAAGTTATATCTTAAGCTATAATTCATATTTTAAAAACTATCATTTCAATGTGAAAATATGAGTTCAGAGCTAAAGAATTTCTGAGTGACAATAGTGAAATTGTCGTTAACTTCTGCTGTTCAACAGAAGTGCATGCTCACTTCAGTATCACATGTACTAAAACTGGAACCATACAGAGAAGATTCGCTTGGCCCTTGTGCAAACATGACAACCAAATTTGGGAAGTGTTCCATATTTAAAATAATAAAATAAAACAGAAGTGCTTAACTTTGCAAGTGTACAGCACAACACCTGACCATCAGACTCAGAGCAAGAATTAATGGCCATTCTGTCCTTGTCACCACTCATGTCTCTAGCATGGCTTCCAGGAATCTTCAGACTTCTGTTTCCTTGGGCAGCTATGTTGCTCTGGCTCTGGTTCTTTATTTTGAAAAGTGCAATCTAGTAATAACCAAAAGTTGTCTGTAAATACAAATCCAATTTCTTACTGAATTGTGTTCTCACTAACAGGAGCAAAAGCTCCTGCTACAGAGGTCACTCCTGAGCTTAGCCTGCTGGAGCCCTGGTGCCTGGTCCTCCAGGTCCTGAGGGCAGGCTCACCAAGGGCCAGAAAGGAGAAGCTCACTGGAGGAGGAACACAGAATGGAGGAAAGCCCAAGACAAAACCAAGGACCTGGCACTTTGCCCAGGGCTCTTCGTGATCAATGAGCCTGAAGTCAGTTTTCTTCTGGGAGAAGCCTCATTCCTCTGGGCAGCTGGATCTGATGAGATGAAGGAATGTCACAATTTTTCTATGCAGTCTAGTGTGGGTGTGGTTCTTAGTACAGTTCAGGACAGGGGTATTCTTGTCTGGTTTTTAACAGTGCCTCTCTTGACCTTTACATTTCTCACCTAGAGTGTTGTTACTTTGAAAACGACATGTTGTGTAGACGGTGATAAGGGAAGTGAGTTCTGGCTTATTTCACAGCCATGGAAAGTCATCTCTGACTTTGTGTGGCCTCATTGCTAGCTACATCTATAAATGTGGAGTTGACAGTTTGAAATTCTGTGTATTTGGTAATTACATCCAAGACAAACAGATGTCAACCAATAATTAGAAAGTATATAAAAAAGATAAATATGCACTTCAATGATAAGTTACATGAAAGRAATCTAGAATATAAGAAAACCTTTGTTTCCTGTATTTTAATAATGCATTGTCACTACATCTCCACCCGCCTCCCGCAAGGCGTACATGTTCAGTACAGATACAATTTTTCTTTTTGACTTATTTTCCATCTAAGGGTGGCTGAGTCTGAGGGTAGGGAACCTACAAAGTGGGCTGACTGTATTACCATTCTCTTACTAACTTCCAAGAATTTCATTTGTATTGGGGTATCTATCTTATTTATTGAAACAGTCCTACCAACAAGCATACAGGTTGTTTACTGTTTGGAATTATTACAGAACAATGCTTTGATGAGCATCTTTGCTCACTTGTACAAATCCAACAGGAATATAAATTCTTAGAAGTAGAGTAGCTTGGTCCAAGTTTATGGTCTTTTTTTCATTTTAAAAGTGTTACCAAATCAGGAAGGTTATTTAGGTGAGTTTTGTTCATATTTGTAAACAACAGACACTAGTAATGTTTTCAAAGGATCAAATGAGATAGAAGGATATAAGAACATAGTATATAGCAAATAGGCTGTTAATGAATATTGGTCKCCTACTTTCCTTTTCTTATACTTAGACGGCTATTTATGAATATTTCCATAGCTATAGCTTTGACAATCAGCTCAACAGTTAATTCCAATATTCGTAGCCAATCCTGAAGCACCACTTAAACACCTGTTATTGACTAACTAGCAAACTCTGAAGGTCAAATATGTTCTTGAGAAGACACAACCTTTGACATTAACCTTAAACACCATTTTCCTAGGAACGCAGGTGATTTTTTTGATTATTGCCTCTTTTAATAAGGCCCTAGTAAAAACAAAATGAGCTGGGCTGAAGTACACTTTCCAGTCCTGTCTCTGTACTTGAGTGAAAATCGTGCTGGTCCATGTCATTTGTTTCATAAGCCCCATATAATCCAACTCTGGAAAACCACTCTGACACCTCCGGAGCTCTCTTTGCTCTTGGGGGAACCCGTCGTCCCCACCTAGGGGTCCTCAGCGTTTGGACTCCGTCAAGGGCGCCAGAGGTCCCTGGGTCGCGGGGACTGAGGTCCCGCCGGCTCGGCCCGGGAGCGCTGCAGGCCRGTCGGCCGTCGCCCGCTCCTCGCCTCCGCACACGCCGCCCCGCGGCGACCCCGACCGGCGAGGCTCCCGGGCGCGCCCCCGCCTGCCGGGGCCAGCTGAGGCTCCGCCGCCCCTGCCCGCCTCCCGCACCCCGCACGCGAGCTTCGCGCGGCCGGCCCGGCCCTCGGCGGGCGCTCCGCCGGCGCGGCCATGCGGGCGCGACCCGCGCTGGGCCCGACCCCGCCGGCACTCGGGACGCGGCGGCCCCGCATGGAACGCGCCAGGGCGGAGGSCGGCGCGGGGGCGGCGGCGGGCGGGGAGGCCGGGCGGCGGCCGAGGGCCCCGGGCGCGCTTCCGCCGGCCGCGCCGCGCACGCCGCGGTAAATGGGAGGCTCGGCCGGCGGGGGCGGGGGCCGCGCAGCCGGGGACTTTCAGGAACTGCAGGGGCGGGCGGCGGCTGGAGTCTCCGAGCGCCCAGCCGCGGGCCTGAGCGCCGACACTCGGGGCCRAGGCGGAGCCGCCGCCGCGCCGGGGCCCAGCCGTCGCCGTCGCCACCGTCCTCGCGCGCCCTCCCGGCTTGGGCCGACCCGCCGCGGCGCGGGAGACGAGCCGGCCGTCCCCGGCCGGGGGACCCGCCCGCCATGGCCACCAAGGTGAGGGGCGCGCGGAGCAGGCCCGGCCGGCCGCTCGGCCCACGGCGGCGCGGGGAGGATCGGGGGCGCGGGCGGCGGCGGCCCGAGGAGGCCGGGAGGGCGCTCGGCGGGACCCAAGGCCGGCCCGCGGCCCAGCCAGCCCCCTCCGGCGTGGCGGCGCGGTGAGGCCGGGGRCGGCGGGGCTGGTCGGGACCCCCGGCGGCGCGGAGCGCGACGCCGCCTCAAAGTTTGCGCCTGGGCGCGGGCGGCGGCGGGAGCCGGGCGGAAAGTTCCCGCAGCCCCGGAGCGTCTGGGAGTCGCCCGCCGCCGCCCCGGAGCCCGGCCCGCGCGGCCGGCCCCCCGCGCCCCCGCGGCTCGGCGCTTTCTGTTTTGCTGCCTTTTCGGTTTGAATGGCACTGCCAGCGCGAAGCGGTACCGAGAGGGAAATGACTGCYTTCGGTTAGGTGCCCGCTCGAAGAAGGGCCCAGGCCCGAGTTACGCGGGGACTTGGCTCCCGCGCGGCCGGGAGTTGTGCTGCTCGTTCTGTGACTGCGTGTGAAAGCGGGCGCCAGGGCGGCCGTGCTCCCGGGCCGCCGGGCCCCCGTGCTCCCGGGCCGCCTTCCCCCCGCGCCGCCTTCCCCGGCGCCGCTCCCGGGGCGGTTTTCCTGCCCCAGCCGCGGAAGGGGTCCGGGCTGCGGCCGGCCTGCGGTGCGGGCTGGGCACGGCGTTTCTGGGAGGCCACTTTTATAAACATGAGCGCCCTTTTCCATATTTGTTTTTGAMACATCTAAGCGACTTTTGGGTTGGTGAGATCCGGGTGTGTGTGGTCGGAGGGCGTTTGATGGAGACAGGAATCGTCGGTGACTGCGAGCTTGGAGTTGGTGCCAAGGTCTGGGTCTGGTCCGCGAGGGCAGGCTGTATAGAAAGGAGGGCTCTCCCTCCGGAACCTGTTGCTTCTGTCGCTGAAATAATTACCTTGTTAATATATTTCGAGTGTGGCGTTCCTGGGGTTTTTTATTAGATTGATAGAACTTGCCCACTTTTAAACATCATGATTTTGTGTCGACCTTTTTAATAAGAAAAATTAAGGCAAGCCAAAGATTTCAAAGGGAATTTTGATTTTGAGGTTTGTTGCCACAAGCTCCAGAAATTGCCACTTACACATCCTATTTCACAGTTGTCTTGCAACCTTAAGAGTGGCTTGTGACACAGAGGTCTGGTTTGTGCTGTTTCCCACCTGCCTCTTCTGAGGCACCAGTGTGTGCTTTAGGTAGGATACAGCTTAGCAACTGCAGGTGCTAAGTGAGTTTTATTTGATGGTGAAGTCTGAGCTTAGTTTTTTCATCACATTAAAAAGGACACTGGTCCTTGTACCCAACTTGAAATGAATATGTCCTCACTAAGCACAAGCCTCACAGCATTTCTGAGTTCTTCCTACTTTTGTTATCTGTGCTACTCTGAAGGCAAATTCCAGACTTCTGTTAGTATGTCAACTTTCTAATCACCGTTCTACCTGGTGCTCAGTTTCCCTGTTTACAGAGCGACAAACCATTGCTATTTGAAGAAAAAGACCAGCAGTGAAGCATTTATCAAGAGGACACTTCCKCAAATTTGGGTTTTGTTTGGTTTGGTTTGGTTTGGTTTCCCTACTGTCTGGTGATTCTCTGTCAAATCAAAAGTTCTCTCTGTTTTTTGTTTCTGTACTGGGGAGTGAACCCAGGTATGCTTTACCTCTGAGCCACATCCCCATCCCTTATTTTTAATTTTGAGACAGGGCCTTGCAAAGTTGCTGAGGCTGGCCTCCAACTTGTGATCCTCCTGCCTCACCCTCCGGAGTAGCTGGGATTAAGGTGTGCATCACCTCACCAGGCTGTCTAATTTTTGAATTGTTCCCAGAGAGTAAAGGTGTCACTGCCGGGTTCCCCAGACCCTCTATAAGCACACCCTTGTCCTTCCCCACATCTGAATAGTTTGATTTCTTTTCCTTCCTGTTCTTTATTTGGAATATTCTTAGTAACCAATGACCASTAACTTGTAATAAAAATTTCAGGCTCAAACGTCACTTAGGCTCTTGCTATAAGTATTAAGAAGTGATGAGATATATATTCAGTATCTGAATATTTGAGGTCATGTTGGGTTTCGCTTTGAATTTACCAGAGAATGACTTCAGTTCATTTTTTTTTTTTAATTCTTACAGGTTGTTTGAAAGGTGCAATTATCTTCAATCATGGGTTTTAAAAATTCTTTGTATATTCACAATAGAAAAATGAAGACATTTTCTTTTAAAAGAATTCGAATTGGATGCTGGGGTTGTGGCTCAGCGGTAGAGCGCTCACCTAGCATGCGTGAGGCGCTGTGTTCCATCCTCAGCACCACATAAAAATAAACAAATAAAATAAAGGTGTTGGGTCCAACTACAACTAAGAGAAAATTAAAATAAATAAAATAAAGTTTCTTAAAAAAGAATTAGAATTGGGTCATTCTTCACTGTTGAAGATAGGTAATCAGTAACTGCACATTTTAAAGGGATTATCTGTTTTTTTGTTTCTAATCTTTCCTTGTAGAATGCTGAATTCAGTTTAAATGCATACACCACTCTGAAGTCCAGTCTTGCCTCATTTAGCAAATACAGTGAAAGGCTGATAAGAATGTTTTAGTCTTGTCCTCTGTTGCAAGCCCCTGAAGTTTATATTTTGACACAGTCCTATGGTGAATTTGGGTGAATTTAAGTTTTGTTTTTAAAAAAACCAAGAGAAAGAATTCATTTTCTACATATATCAAAAGGGGCTTAACGAAAATAGTGGCAGTTATCCATATCTGTGTAACTTAGCTGTCATTTCCACGTCACAGTTAACCTTTGGTAACTAATTTAGGTCCTTTGTGCTTACAGAGTCACTTTTAGAAGTAATCATTCTAATCAGATTTTTTTGGATACAACATTTTTTTTATACCTTTATTTTATTTATATGGTGCCAAGGATCAAACCCAGTGCCTTGCACATGCTAAGTGAGCAAGTACTCTACCACTGAGCCACAACCCCAGCCCTTCTAACCAGATTCTTGGAAGTTCCTGATGCCTTTTTCTTTTTCTTTCTTTCTTTCTTTCTTTCTTTTTTTTTTTTTTTTTAAGAAAATGCCTTTCCAACTCCACTAACTAAAGTTACACATGTACTTCTTACAGCCCTGGTTGAATTAAGGGTGTGTGGAGGGGCTGGGGATGTGGCTCAAGCGGTAGCGAGCTCGCCTGGCATGCGTGCTGCCTGGGTTCGATCCTCAGCACCACATACCAACAAAGATGTTGTGTCTGCCGAAAACTAAAAAATAAATATTRAAAAAAAGGGTGTGTGGAACCTTGAAATTCTGGTAGGAAATGAGTGAATTCCTTTGGTGCATATGTGTGAGAACAGTTTTGAAAGCATATGTTGTAGTTTCTCCCAAGCAGAAACCTCTTTATTTGAAGAAAAGAATAGAAGGCTCTTTATAAGGGAAGTTTAAGGGTTTTTTYCCATATATATATGGAAAATGCTTACTATACAGTTTTGTGTAACAGTGTTTTTTTTTTTTTTTTTTCCTTGTGTGCTAGGAATTGAACCTAGGGCCTAGCACATGCTCGGCAAGCACTGTACCACTGAGCTACATCCCCAACACTTTCTAAAAATTTTAATTAATTAATTTATTTAGAAGAGTCTTGCTAAAATGCCGAGAATGGTCTTTGACTGTTAGTGACTTGACTTTTCTTATCACTGTTCCACCTGGTGCTCATTTCATGTTTATAGAGTGGCAAATCATTGCCATTTGAAGAAAAAGATTAGCTCCACTAAGTAAGTTACACGTATGCAGACACAAACTACCACATAGCTGCCAGCAGTAGCTGGAATTACAGGCACCCTGCCCAGTTTAACAATAATTTTTAAAAAAWGTCTTAAATAGAATGTTTAGCATTTATATAGAGAGAAATTTGTATAGAGAAAAATTCTGAGACAATGAAATTGTTTCTTAATAAAGAATGAATAGAAGACATAATTTTTTTAAAATTAGAGCTGTATATTAAAGTTATACTTAATAGTTGGGCTCATCCTGACAAACTCATCTATGCATGGAATTTGATTTCAGTTCGCGGTTCCCCACTTCAGAAAGCATGCACTTTTTAACTGCACCATTTTTATATTAAGCATATAAAGTACACTTTTCCTTTGAGTGCCCCCTCGTAACTCTGTAGCTTTGCATGCACACTTCCTTTCGGGACTGAACTGCTGTTTTCTGCCGTCTTCTAGGTACCCCTTCTTACACATTAGCCCAAGGCACCACTTCCTTGGGAAAGTCTTTCCTGATGTCCCCACCCTTATTACAGRGTCATCTGGCCAGGCTGGTAGTTAYGTTTGTTTCTATGACTACTGGCTGCCTCCTTCGGGATGCATTCAGCCCCAGGAGGCTGGGACTGTGTTTGCTCACCTTTGTGTCCTAAGGGACCTGTTTGAAAGAGCAAAAAGAGATTCCAGTGAGATAATGACTAAACTAAAGATAAAAGAACTTTAATCTCCAGCTGTAGGTTTTGGTTCTTTTAATTGTGTTTCAGTGAAAAATTTTTAAGTATACATGCCCAATGCAAAATTCACCTGCAGTGCAATGTTTTTAAAATATAAATAATTTAGCCTTACTAATGATTACATGAGAAATTATGTTTCACGGTGTTTGAAACTAGCCTCACACTTCTGAGGATTTAAGAAGGTGGTTTTAACTCCTGAGTGTCAGGAGTGTGCTTAGTTTTCATAAGTTTAGAGTTTTTTTTTTGTCTTTTTATTTATTTTTTAGTTGTAGATGGACATAATACCTTTATTCTATTTGATTATTATTATTTTTTTAATGTGGTGCTGGGCAAGTGCTCTACCACTGAGCCACATCCCTGGCCCCAGTTTTTTGTGTTTTTGTTGAGTGCCGCAGGCTGCTCGCCGGGGTTGCGGCGGGCTGGCTGAGCTCCGCTCCTGCCACTTCTGTCGCCAAGCACTGCCTGCCGCACCCCTG